ATGAATTTGGCCTGTTATGTCTTCTGTAGTGGTTTCAATATCAGAAGCAAAAGATGTTTTGGGATGAAAGCTGGATTATAGACTTCCGCCACATCAGACAAGGTTTGTAAATACTGGGGATTTTTGCATTCTTAGCAGTGTTACTTTGTTGTATAAGTGAATCAAATGCATAAATGTGTCTGCATGCCAGATGGATGGATTATATGACTTGCAAGACAAGCTCTGATTAAAGAAGTGTAAATTCCAAGGAAAGGAAAGATGTTAAAGTTTCTTACACTAAGGGGATGAAATAAAAGAAGAGAATAATTAGATTGACTATCAAAAAAAAACTTTATGACATGGATCTGTCATGCAGTAAAATAATGATCTGCTGGAAGTAGATGGAAAGCCCATCACACCTGCTCATTTAAAACAAATCTCGACAGAATATTAGTAAGGACTCAACAGAGAACATCTTGTATCTATGCTGGTAATGTCAGTCACTGGGGGCTGATCATTTTGAGAGCCAGGAAACTGACTTATGGAAATGCCTGTATGGTGCAATACCGTGTAGGGTATAGATAGCTGAGTTAGCTTTATATTGTAGTCTAGTTAAAATAGCATGGTCCTCTGCTTGGCCTAGGAGGATCTAATGATGCTAGTCTGTTTCTTATACTGAAGCTAACTCACCTGAGCTAGTGTAAGTATCTCTGTGTGGTACAGCATTACCCCAATTGCTGAGTTAGTGGGAGAAGTCACTAATTTACGGCTTTGAGCCATAATAAATTCAGGGACTTGATGTTACATTTGCTTTAATAGTCAGATCCTCAATTAAGCAGTTCTACTACAAGTATACACAAGACCAGACTCTGGTGTGAGAAGAAGCGAAGTTTCCTCTGTGTGTATGATTTAAATATGCCTGAAAGTCACATGTGTCTCAATGGCCATTTACTGTTTCAATTTAGATCGCATGGTATGGACTGCAATGGGTAGCATCCTTAGTGTGCCCCATGCACCCAGTGAATCCAATGCCAGCTGTATCACTGCACTGAGCTCCTGCACAGCAGCTGTCAGCACCTCCAGAAAGCAGTACTTCACACAGACCGGAATATAGTAGGCTTAGCTTACAATCATTCTTTCTGTGTTATTCCCTCTACTATAGCTACACATGTTCAAGAAGACTGTCATTCCTTGCCATATTGCCATGTGCAAGTAATACAATGGGTTATTCTCCATCCCCTAACCTATTTTGATAACAGTCTTCAAGTACCCAAAGGATGATTATGGAGAAGATGGAGACAGGCTTTTCTCTGCATTAGTAGGGAACAGGTCTAGAAGCAATGGCCCCGAGCTGAAACAGAGGAAATTTAGGCTGAAGATTAGGAGGAACTTTCTGACTAGGGTGGTAGTCAAGCATTGAAACATACTCCCTAGAGAAGTTGTGGACTCTCCATCCATAAAACTTTCAAGAGCAAGTTGGACAGAAGCCTGGCTGGAATGATTTAGTCAGAGATGACCTTGCCTTGAGCAGGGGCTGGAGTAGATGACCTTGTGAGGTCCCTTCCAGCCCTTGTTTCATATGATCTTGTATGATAACATGAGCTTCTTACCATGCTCTGCATGAGGGATTTTCCCATACCCACCCCAGTGACTACTATTTTTGGTTGCCCCCTTTTCTTTTCTTGATGAGATTTTTAATAGTGATGAGATTGCTGCAAGTCATAGCTCAGTTTATAAATGTTCTCAGGTGCGTATACATGTGATGGGGGTTTAATCCCTAAGGTTTCATTCTGTGCCCCATAAATTGAAACAATGGGGCGTAGAATAAAACCCTGAGGACTAATCGTTTCAATTTTTCCATCATGTTATGACAAGGGGGCCCGATCCTTTTTTTTTTTTTTCTGTCGGAGCTGGAGCCTGTCCCCAGCTGAGGTGTGAGCTGCTTGCAGGAAAAGTGGCCCCTGAGCTACTAGGGGCCCTGTCCTTCCCTCCGCGGCAGTGGTGCCCCTCCCTCGGGGTGCCTTGGTGGGTTGCTAGTAGGCCGGGTGTTGCCCCAGCTCAGAGGCAGTGCCTGGCTGGATCCAACTCTTCCCCAAGCCTGCTGGGGCTTCCAGCACCCTGTGCACTTTTCCCACTGCCTTCCCACCACCTGGGATTGCCTGGGAATGGGCTGGCTTGCCTCTGGGGCAGCAGGAAGGTGGCTGGGTGTGCTGGAGGCCAGAGAAGGCAGCAAGGACAGTGCCAGGGTGCTGGAAGCCCAGAGTGGAAGCTCAGGCTTGGCGAGCTTCCAGCGCCCTGTGCACTGTCCCTGCTGCTTTCTCCAGATGCCAGCACACCCAGCCCCCTTCCTGTTGCCTCCCCGCACTGCCCCACAGGCAAGCCATCCCATTCCCAGGCAGTCCCAGGTGGCAGGGACAATGCATGGGGCACTGGAAGCCCCAGAAGGCTCAGGGAGGAATTGGATCAGGCCAGAAAGAGAAGCAGAGAGGGGCCCAATCCTTTTGTTTGGCAGAGCCTGCCTGCCTCTCCTGTGGCCAGGGGACAAGCTGACAGCAGCATCATTGCAATTTGCAAAGTTGTAAACTAAACTACATCCAGGTGTAGTTTAGTTTGCAACAATGCAAAGTCATTTAAAACCCCTCAAAAGTCTTGCACATGTACATTGTGATGCCATTAAGCCACACAAAGTGATATTTTCATCATGTGTACATGTTAGTGGTGTCACATGTACAAGCGCCTTTCAATACCTCAGTGTGTTTAAACCTAAGGCTCTACTGCAGGTCCATCTGTAAAATTTAAGTAGAAGTCAGTTAGGGTCTTAGAACAAAGGAATGACATGCTATACTACATTGTTGTTATCTATAAACTGGATCCTTAAACCAGTTTGCAGGACTGGGAATTGAAGACAGTATTCACCACTAGGTCACCAGTTGATCTTGGTCATGATATACCCATACAAAACATCTCAGGGTAGAGCAGCTACTTCCAATAGTTTGATGGACAAGGGCCCTACTTCTCGTGCCCCCTCTCACATCCCAGGAAAAATGCTGTCCAGAACATCCAGAAGCCAGCTACCCCAGTAGGGTAGACCACACAGCTCTGAGCTTCCTTGGCTAGACTGTTTCAGTTATCCAGGCTAGCTTACTTAAAGCTAACATATTTTTCTCTACACTACACTGCAATCTGCACTGTAGAATACCATGCTGAGTCCCACAGAAGATGAGAGGAGAATTTGGAGTGACAAACTTAAATGGCAGCCCTGCTTACATTAGCTATTCTTCTAGCAGACTGCATTAGAAGCTGCTGAAAAAGTGAGGGAAAGTGGAGTAAGGAGCTAATTACCATTGTGTCCCACGTGCTGACTAGGGGAATACCAGTTTTCCTGGTCCCACTGCTCCTTTTTTCTGCCTCACACCTCTCCAATCTGCTCTGTGCTAGTCTAGTGACCCCTGTAGAAATGGGAAGAATTTACCTATTGGGTTGGGAAACACAAATATATATAGAGAAACTGACATGAGCTTCAAAATGTGTAATTTTCTGCAGATTTTTATTCCAAACATCCCCAAATTCCACAGTGAATCACTGTGGGATTACAGCATTTACAAAAACATCTTGGTCTTGTTGCAGTGATGGAAGGACAGTCGCCATCAAGAAAATAATGAAAAAGACTTTCACTCTGTCCAAATCCATACGGAAGGAAGTAAAGCAAGTGAGGTAAACAATTAAACTGAATACAGGTTGCTATGAGAGCACCAGTAGGAGGATGTGGTGGCAGATCAGTTAAGACATTTTGTTATGACTTTGAGTCTTGTTCCAGGCTTATTCCAAAAGATGACCCACTCAGTTCTGCTGTAAATATCTGATCATTTAGGCCTCAGGTCAAAGGTAACTAAATGTGATCATCATCACTGTGCTATTGGCTACAAACACTGATGCGCCTTCCCCATGCCAGGCTGATAGATTCCTAAGGTTTAGTACATCTTTGACTGAAAATTTAGACCTGCCTATTGTTACTTGTGTTCATCTTCTTTTTTCTCCAAATGTTTTATTGCAGTGCATTTATTTGACCTTGATTGAAGATGCTTTTGTGAATATTCAAGAACACAAAAAACTCAAAAAATATGGCAAAGAACCACATCTTCATACCAATGAAGGGTGTTCGGGCACATGACTTCTGAGGAGAGGCTGAGGGAACTGGGCTTATTTAGTCTGGAGAAGAGAAGACTGAGGTGGGATTTAATAGCAGCCTTCAACTACCTGAAGGGTTGTTACAGAGAGGATGGATCTAGACTGTTCTCAGTAGTGGCAGATGCCAGAACAAGGAGCAAAGGTCTCAAGCTGCAGCAAGAGAAGTTTAGGGTAGATATCAGGAAAAAAAATTCTCACCAGGACGGTGGTAAAGCAAGTTACCCAGCAAGGCTGGATCCAGACCCTACCTCTTTGCAGCCCCACAAACTCCATGAGTTGCATGTTAATTTGTGCACGGTGCTGCTTATTTGCAGTGCCAGGGCAAAATTCACAACCAGGATTTCCTGGTAGCAATAAAAAAAGAAACCTGAAAAAGCAGTGCAAACCACACCAATGTGGCATGCGCCAGGACAAATGCAGAGATGGGGAGCAGGTCGCCCAGGGCTGCCTTCTTTCCCATCTCAAGGCACGCTGTTTCCCAGGCAGCTGGGGAGCAGCTAAATGGGGGTGCAGGGTGTCTCAGCTCAGGGGCTCCATAGTGTGCAGCGACAGGTTAGCAGGCAGCCCTGGGCTGTCTGCTTCCCTGTCTCCACATGCCACTTCCCAGCTGGGAGGCCAGCACAGGCCTGCCAGCTAACCCTGCACTGAGGCACCCTGTCCCCCAGTCAGCTACCCACCACTTTCTCCCCCCATAGCACATGATGCGATGGAGCCCCCATGCTGAGGCATGTGGATATGGGGGAGCAGGCAGCCCTGCTCCCCTGTCTCAAGGCACAGTACACCTGCAGCTGCCTGAGGTGCAGTGTGCCTCGGTGCAGGGGCTCCACAGTGGAGCCCCCATGCGGAGACACAAGGAGACAGGGGAGCAGCCAACCCAGGGAGCGCCTGGCTGGGGATGCAGGCTGGGGATGCAGGGTGCCTCAGTGCAGAGGCTCTGCAGTGTGTAGAGATGTGGGAGCAGGCAGGCCTTGGCTGTGATAATCTAGTTGGGGATAGTCCTGCTTTGAGCAGGGGTTGAACTAGATGACCTCTGAGGTCCCTTCCAACCCTCATTTTCTATGAATCTATGGTTCTATGATGTGATTCCTGTGCTTCTTCTTCACAGAGAACTTGATCATCCCAACCTCTGCAAATTTGTCGGAGGTTGTGTAGAGGTGCCAAACATTGCAATTATGACAGAATACTGTCCAAAAGGGAGCCTGAATGATGTTCTGCTCAATGAAGACATCCCTCTAAACTGGGGCTTCAGGTAAAAACAAGACTTTGGAAAAGATAAGCGACACAAGTAGCACTGCTAGGTGACACTTTCTGTTTCAGATAGGATGCCAATTATAGATAAAGTCATGGAGTACATGAGTCTGTGATGTGTTGTAGATCAGAAGATACCACACTTCTGCAAATGAAAGAGAAAGGAAAGCCCATTGATCCTTGCCCTGACCTATCTCAGGGATATCCTTATATTCCACATTACTCCTGCTGAGCCCAAGCCTTTTCATTACATCTCTGTTTATGGTATGATGCCATGTGAAGTCTAGGATCCCACATAGCTTCCTTTCTTTCACTGATGTTATATAGACTTATTACACTCTGATGTTCTATTGACTTAAACTGTGTAAAAGAGCAATACAGGTCCAACACTGAAAGGAATACTGTGAGCATTATTAGTTACCTGTAAAAAGACACATGTACACAGAAGAGGCTCAAAGGATTTCAAAGGAATACAGAAAAAAACAACTTCTTTGCTTTAACCATTTATTTTATAAATACATACTGCCCCTTATTCCCACTAGCTGTGCATTCTCTTTGCTTTGCTTCAGGGTAACAGCAAAAAATCTCTTTAAAAATAGCCATTCCATGTTAAATAAGGAAGTTTAGAAATCTGCTCCTCGTCTGCATGTCTGTAGCCAGAGGTTAATCATACAAGCTACTGAGAAAACCTTCAAGAACATGAACACTCCTATCATGTGCTGAGTACCATGTGCTCCATCTGGTGTGTCACCTAAGGGGAAACTGAGGACATTCAGCAACTCACAGGAGTCCTTACTTTGGCACTTTGCAGAATTGAGCCTTGGGAGCCTGGATCCAAAGGCTACTTAAGTCTCAAAATCTTCTATTGACTTCAATAGGTTTTTAACAAATCCCTCACTGAGGATTTGGTTCACAAGGACACTAGTTTGTTAATAGTAACTTTGTGCCTTTCAGGTTTTCCTTTGCTGCAGACATTGCCCACGGAATGGCATATCTTCACCAACATAAAATGTATCATGGACGGCTGAAGTCCAGTAATTGTGTGATTGATGACCGATGGGTTTGTAAAATCGCAGGTAAAGAGAAGGGATGGATTTTGCAATCTGTCCAGTAAACCAATTATACACTGCTCCAGCAGTACTGCAATCTGACATTTCAGATGGGAATACTAACTGAAACAGCCTATATTACTAGTAAACAATGGCAGAGCAAACCCATTATATTATCTTGTCCTCCCATTGAATGTGTGCCCCTCTTGCATATATCATATACCATGAGAGATGGAGTCAGACATCATCAGATTTGGCAAAATCCACCTCATCTTCTATTTGATTCATAAGGAAACCTCATTATAGACATCAGCATGAAACACTAAAAGATGTTCGACGACTGGTAAACCTGAAGACACTTTAATAGGGAAAGGTAAAAGAAAACTAGGGACAGTCTGATGAATTCTCCCTCCCTTACACCAACACAACCAGTCTTGTTTCTTTGAGGGCCTACCAGTTTCAGTGGTGTTGGCCAGTGTAACATAGAGGATAATTTGACTTACAGAACTGTTGAGACTTTAACTGATCACAGTGTACTCGATCTCAGTGGTTTCAGACAACAACTTTGCCACTTTCTTGCTAAGGGTAAAACTTGGGTTGTAGTCTAAAAAATGAGACTACTAGAATATCCTGATTAGAGATGGGTCTGAACCAAAAACCTTACCCTCCCCCACTCCCAATTTTAATAGTGTTTGTTTCTAGAAAATGAAAGTAAAAGTATTTTTTCTCATGTTGTTGCCTGAGATTACCCTGTGGCTGAGTGTGGGCTCCTCATCCCAATTCAGGGTCAGATCCAGGGGTCCAGTTGAGCTTTATACCGTACAGAACAGAGGGTTGGCTCCAAAAGTAGTGTTAAAGTTACTGTACATCCCCTGCCCCGGTATTCCACATTTTACCTTTATATTCCCCTAATCCTGGGGCCAGTATGTGTAGGTTCAGTACCCCGTTTCTGCTGGCTTCTAATTGCTCCAAAAAACTGAAACTATACCTGGACATCTTCAACATGGCCTGCAAGGAAGTGGGTGCTGCAAAAGACTGTAACACTGGTTCTGTCTTGCACTGAAATGATGCTGCCACGGTTGAATAGGCTGGTTTTTAGGCTAGAATTCAATGTGGAGTGGATCAAAAGGCTCAGTTATACTATCTGGGTAATCTCACCCAACACTTGCTTTCCAGTTCCTGTGTTCACAACTACGTTTGAGTAGAAACACCTCCCCCCACCCACCAAACTCTTTAGGTTGAAACTGGGATGGCTTTACTTCCACAATAAACTCATTTAAATCAATAATGTTGCAACTTAGTACTACAGGTGTTTCAGGAAAGAACATAATCTTTACTGAGGACTTGCTTCTTTCTTTCTTCTGTGACAGACTATGGATTGCAGTCTTACAGGAAAGAAGATTCCTCTGGGGGTTCTAGTTCATATCAGCAGCATTTGATACAGATTTATTTGCCACCTGAGATGCATTCACTGTTGAACTTTGAACCTACTCCTATGGCAGATGTGTACAGGTGACGATAAACTTTTCATGTGTCCTCCTTTGTGATCAAATATCCTTTGTTATTAACTGGGCTGAATTGACTTCCAACATTATATCAGAGGAGAATTTGACTGATTGTGATTAAAAGTTGATTGATTCACATTTAGAGAATAATTTAGCTATTAAAGGGACCTCTACTTGAAGATAGGAAGTAAAATTCTAGAGCTTGTTGAAGCTGATGTAAATCCAGGGTAATGTTTTTGATATTTTTTCACTAGTGCAAGTGCAATCAAAAGATAGGTCTTACAGCTATTCTCTTTTTAACAGTATTGCTTCTTTTGTGTTTTTCTGTTGAAAAAATATTACAGTAAAAGCTTTGTTATCCGGCACCCGTGGGGAATAGGGGGTGCCAGATAACAAAATATGCCTGTTAACTGAGCAACCCGAACAGGCGTCTTTGCCTGTTTGGGCTGCCGCCTCTCCCGCCGCATCCGGGGCATCGCCGCCCCTCCCATGGGCCCTGAGAGACAGGGAGGTGGGCCCCGTGCAGCTTTCTGTGCCCCGGGCTGTGGGGGCTCGGAGAAACCGGAAGTGCCACGGTGGGCACTTCCGGTTTCATTTTACCTTACAAGCCGGCATGGCAGTTAATAGAACGTGCTGGTTTGTAAGGTGCCAGTTAATGGAGCTTTTACTGTACTTAGTTCACAGTGGGTGCACTTTACTATGGAGCTGACTGATTAGCTGTGCAGTAAAGTGTCACCATCTACATGCGTTCTTGCATTAGGGCACAGTAAATTCATTAACTCCACTGTAGGGACAATTACTATCCTACAGCAGATAGCACTAACATGCACTACAGTGCATGTGTAGACTGTCACCAGGGCTGGCTGGGGCGCAAGGGTTCTGCAGTGTGGGGGCTGCCTACCGGCTAACCCCACACTATAGCATTCTTATGCCTTGGTTAGCCCCTCTGCAGCACATTGATCTGTGGTGAAGCAGCCCTGATCTGGCAGGCTGATGCCCCCAGGTCTCCTGCTAGCCCGGGTCTGCTTTGCCCTGGCTCAACATGCTGCAGTCCTGAGAGCACATGTAAACACTGCGCCTGGGAAGAATAAGCTCCGGTGCAAACTGTGCCAGAATTTATTGCTATGTACTAATTGCATGTGTAGATGTACCCAGTAATATTAAAATGGTTTAAATAGGGTACATCTACACATGAGCTTTACTTTGGAGTTGATTAATTAGCTCCCCAGTAAAGCATCACATGTGTGCCAGTATTAGGGTCCAGTAAATTAATTAACTCCACTGTAGGACAGTATTGTCTGGGACAAATACTATCCTACAACAGAGTAATTGCATGTGCTCAAATGCACATGTAGACTGTGACCAGGGCCTACCATCTATCGCTGTACTGTAGCACCCTCGTCCCCCAGCCAGCTTCTCTACTGTCCTCTGCTGCTACCCAGGGCTGAGCCCCCAGACCCTCTGCCAGGCCAGGGCTTCTTCGCCCTGTGCGGGCCCTCTCCCGATCCCGCCTGGATCGCCATGTGCGAGCTCTCTCCCGATCCCATCTGGGTCGCCATGTGCGAGCCAG